ATTCCTGCTTCTTGGCAGAATGGGGTTGGACTGGATGATGGCCCAGGAGGTCTCTTCCAATTCTTTGATTCTTTGATTCTATGATTCTATGGTTGGACAGAAGCTCTCTGAAGATTGAAGTGCTCTTACTGCCAATTGTCAGGATTATTTAGTTATGCATGTGTGTTTTTCAATGTGTTTCTATGTAATTCAAGATGTATTTCAAGGTGGATTCTATTCTGCTCTTTTGTGTATTCTCTGAGGCATAGAAAATGTAACCTTGACAGAAATGAGATAACGTGTTCTTTGGCTGGGAAGAAGAGGGAGGATCCGGTCTCAGCCAGAAGTCAGATAAGCAGATGTTCAGAAACTGTTGTTTTGTGCTTTGTAGTTCCTGATTGTAGCTCACTGTGTGAAGACGTGTCTTATATGTACTTAGTAAAACTTGGGTTTTTTTGCAACTGTAAGACTGCAGAGTCCTGCTTTTTGGAGTACTGTGTCTTGATCTAGCAAACCTTCCGCTGCGCATCCCCCAAATTCTGACACCTATTACAAGGAAAACCAGCTGATTCCTAATCCATGTAAAATGCATATGTGTGCTTCTCATCTTCAGAACAGACAAGCATCTCAAGCTCTGAAAATGACCTGGGAAGGAAGGAATCCCACTGGAGCATTGCAGCTCACCCAAGTACCTGGGAGTCACTCTGGACCGTGCTCTGACCTACAAGAAGCACTGCCTGAACATCAAGCAAAAAGTGATCACTAGAAATAATATCACAGTAAAGCTAACTGGCACAACCTGGGGATCACAACCAGACACAGTGAAGACATCTGCCCTTGCGCTTGGCTACTCTGCTGCTGAGTACGCATGCCCAGTATGGAACACATCTCACATCTCTTAATGAGATATGCGGCATTATCACAGGATGTCTATAGCCAACACCACTAGAGGAATTATAGCCAGCAATGAAAGGCCAAGGCGTAGAAACCTCTGTTCGAATATCAACTAGCAAGCAAATACCTTAAATCAAGAAATAGCTTCCTAAGATCTACAGAGATACTTGCAGGATACCTCAGCAAGCAAGAGTCCAAAAGTGGCAGGCTCAAACCCAGCACCTCAACCAATGGCTGAAGCTGGATGATAGACTCCCTCCTGGGCACACAGAATGCTGGGTGAGCCTTCCTTTTCGGAAACAGAATGAAGTGAATCCTCCCACCCAAAGCCCTCCTCTGCTATGACTGGCCAGCCTCTCAGCAAAGGGAAGGCTATTTCTGAGAATCCAAGCAGGGAGGGGAGAGCAGGCGTGCTCAGCGCATGGCAGCATGGTGCGCATGTGCGGGCAGGGGAGAGGAGGTGAGGTGGGAGGGAGACTCGCGCCAGTGATTCCCAAGGCACGGGGGCATTCCATGTGGGAAGTTTGGCCCAATTCCATCCTTGGTGGGGTTCAAAATTCTCTTTGGTTGTAGGTGAACTAGGAGTTCTGTGTGCCAAGTTTGGTTCAGTACCATCGTTGCTGGAGTTCAGAATACCCTTTGATTGTACGTGAACTATAAATTCCAGCAACTACAATTCCCAAACGGTAAGATCTATTTTCCCCAAACTCCACCAGTGTTCACATTTGGACATATTGAGTATTAATACCAAGTTTGGTCCAGATCCATCACTGTTTAAGGCCACAGTGCTCTTTGGATGGAGGTGAACTACAACTCCCAAACTCAAGGTCAATGTCCACCAAACCTTTCCAGTATTTGCTGTTGGTCGTGGGAGTTCCGTGTGCCAAGTTTGGTTCAATTCCATCATTGGTGGAGTTCAGAATGCTCTTTAATTGAAGACGGACTATAAATCCCAGCAACTACAACTCCTAAATGGCAAAATCAATTCCAACCCCACCAGTATTCCAATTCAGGCATATCCGGTATTTGTGCCAAATTTTGTCCAGTGAATGAAAATACATCCTGCATATCAGATATTTATTTTTTGATTCCTATCAGGTGCAAAATGACCGTTGTGACGTAGCAACCAAAATAATGTGATGGTTGGGGGTCACCACAACATGAGGAAATGTATTAAGGGGTCGTGGGATTCGGAAGGTTGAGAACCACTGGTCTGGATGGTCCCATTCTGCTTTGGTCAGCCCTCACCTGGAATAACACTGTGTCCAGTTCTGATTTGGGCCCTTTGAATGGCTACAGATGTATTCCAGCCCAAGAGCCACCCTGCAGAACAAAGCGGTGTGCGCCTGGGACCGTGGCTGGCGTCAATGAAGGCCTCCCCCCAAATTAGATTTGCCCCATTAAGGGCCCTGACCCTGAGAGGATCCAGAGCCGGCCTTTCTCAATCATTCCTGGCAGAGGCAGGTAGAGGAGTCCATCAAGCGCTGCTTTATTTCACTTAAGCAGCAGCCGTAATGGAATTAGCGGGATGGGATGAAGCCGGACGACTGGTTTCGGAGCCCGGCGTCCTTTCGCCTGACGTTAATCAAATTACAAACGCTAATGCCATTAGCGCTCTTGCAATGATCCAAATTGCATTGCTCAGCTTGGAACAACAAAGATCAACTCAGCTGGGCAAATGGCTCCTGCCTGCGGGGAACGGTCTCCACCCCCATTTCCCTTCCGGGTTGGAGACAGAAATGGGAGATAGAACAAGAATATTGGAGAAAGACAAAACAATCTCTGCACAAGTGCATATACACTCTCGGGTTAATGCAGTTTGGCACCACTTCCTTTACTGTGGGTCAATGCTATAGAAAGGCAAAAGCTGCACATCGCAAGTGCTGAACCTGACTCAGCACATAGAAGATGGTTTTGAAAGGCAGCAGATCACAGGAGCTGTCTTCATAGACCTGTCCACAGCCTATCAGACTGTGAACCACCACTGCCTCCTCCTGAGAAAAATGTATAGTATCACAAAGGACTACCACCTGACCCGCCTCATAGGAAACCTGCTACAAAACAGGAGCTTTTTTGTTGAGTTCCAGGGCCAGAGAAGCAGATGGCGGAAACAGAAGAACGGCCTGCCTCAGGGGAGCGTGCTTGCTCCATCCATGTTCAACATCTACACAAATGACCAGCCACTGCCAGAAGGGACAGAGAGCTTCATCTATGCTGATGATCGTGCCATGACCGCTCAAGCAGGGAGCTTTGAGATGGTTGAACAGAAGCTCTCCAAAGCTCTAGGTACTCTTACTGCCTCTTACAGGGAAAACCAGCTGATCCCTAATCCATCTGAAACACAGACATGTGCCTTTCATCTCAAGAACAGACAAGCATCCCGAGCTCTGAGGATGATGACCTGGGAAGGAATCCCACTGGAGCATTGCAGCGCATTCAAATCCCTGGGAGGAGTCACTCTGGACCGTGCTCTGACCTTCAAGAAGCACTGCCTGAACATCAAGCAAAAAGTGGGCGCTAGAAACAACATCATACGAAAGCTGACTGGCACAACCTGGGGATCACAACCAGACACAGTGAAGACACCTGCCCTTGCGCTATGCTACTCTGCTGCTGAGTATGCATGCCCAGTGTGGAACACATCTCACCACGCTAAAACAGTGGATGTGGCTCTTAATGAGACATGCCGCATTATCACAGGGTGTCTGCGCCCTACACCACTGGAGAAATTACACTGCTTAGTTGGTATTGCACCACCTGACATCCGCCGGGAAGTAGCAGCCAATAGTGAAAGGACCAAGGCAGAGACATCTCCAGCTCATCCCCTGTTTGGGTATCAGCCAGCATGCCAACGACTTAAATCTAGAAATAGTTTTCTAAGATCTACAGAGACACTCACTGGAACACCTCAGCAAGCGAGAGTCCAAAAGTGGCAGGCTCAAACCCAGCACCTCAATCCATGGGTGATACCAGATGAGAGACTCCCTCCTGGGCACACAGAAGACTGGGCGACTTGGAAGGCGCTGAACAGACTGCGCTCGGGCACCATGAGATGCAGAGCCAACCTTCAGAAATGGGGCCAGAGAGCACGATGCACTCAGTGATGGATATGGACCAAACTTGGCACAAATATTCAATATGCCCAAATATGAACACTGGTGGAGTTTGGGAAAAATAGACCTTGACATTTGGGAGTTGTAGTTGCTGGGATTTATAGTTCACCTACAATCAAAGAGCATTCTGAACCCCCAACAATAGAATTGAACCAAACTTGGCACACAGTTCTCCCATGACCAACAGAAAATACTGGAAGGATTTGGTGGGAAGTGTCCTTTGGTTTTGGAGTTGTAGTTCACCTACATCCAGAGATCACTGTGGACTCAAACAATGATGGATCTGGACCAAACTTGGCACAAATACTCAATATGCCCAAATGTGAACACTGGTGGAGTTTGGGGGAAAAGAGAATCTTGACATTTGGGAGTTGTAGTTGCTGGGATTTATAGTTCACGTACAATCACAGAGCATTCTGAACCCCACCAACAATAGGATTGGGCCAAAACTCCCACACAGAAAAGCCATGTGGGCCACAGCAACGCGTGGCAGGGGACGGCTAGCTTATATAAATAAAAATGTAATGTTAATTTGTGGGATTAGCATAACTCAAAAACCACTGGATGAATTGACTCCAAATTTGGACACAAGACACCTCTCAGGACGAGTGACCATCACTCATAAAAACACTGGAAAACACAACAGAAGAGACTTAAAAAGCCAAAAAACAAAACAAAAATGCATTACAACACATGCGCAAAACCACATATATACACAAACACACATATACACAAGCATATACACACAAAAAACAGACTGGGCCACAGCAATGTGTCTCAGGGGACGGCTAAAAAAGTAAAGGTAAAGATTTTCCCCCGACATAAAGTCCAGTCGTGTCCGACTCTGGGGGTGGGGTGCTCATCTCCATATCTAGGCCAAAGAGCCGGCGTTGTCCGTAGACACCTCCAAGGTCATATGGCAGGCATGACTGCATGGAGCACCCGTACCTTCATCTACTCACATTTGCATGCTTTCAAACTGCTAGGTTGGCAGAAGCTGGGGCTCACAGCAGAAGCTCATGCCGCTCCCCGGATTCGAACCAAGCTCAGCAGCTCAGCGCTTTAAGCCACCTTATATTATATTTAACATAACAAGGGTTTATAGTTCAGGAATGTTTGCCCACCTTCTTCTCCGGCCTTGGCGGAGTCCACTTCCACGGTCACCTTCTCGTCCCACGTGGGAGAGTGCGAGGGCTCTGTGGCCGTGTGCGTCGTCCCTTGCGCTGGCTGCTTGTTCTCTTCATCCGAGCTGGTTTTGCTAGGAAAGGAGACACAAAGGAGACGTGAGTCCCACAAACAACTTGTGTGCAGGCTCTCTGCAGGACCGCATTGGCCCGTATGGCCCGGCTGGGCTTTGGGTGCGTCTCTCCTGCAGAATGGATAGGGTTCAGTCCAGGCCTGGGCAAACTTCGGCCCTCCCTCCAGGTATTTTGGACTTCGGCTTCCACAATTCCCAACAGCCTACTAGCTATTAGGAATGGTGGGAGTTGAAGTCCAAAACACCTGGTTGGATACCGTTTGAACCTTGGAGATTCCCAGGTTCCCAGGCCTGGCTTTGACTCCTGCGCAACAACAGAACGCATTACACCATGCAACACAATGTGAAAAGTTTTCTGATCCTGGTTTGAAAGTGTTATTTCCTATTTAGTTGTGTGATACTTACTTTGGAAGTAGCTGTAATTGTGCTTATTGCTGTTTTATATTGTTATGTATTCACATGTTTTATGTAATTGTGATGTTGTTCAGTGCTTTGTCGAAGGCATTCATGGCCGGAATCACTGGGTTGTTGGACGTTTCTTTCGGGCTATATGGCCAAGGTCTAGAGGCATTCTCTCCTGATGTTTCGCCTGCACCTATGGCAAGCATCCTCAGAGGTAGTGAGGTCTGTTGGAACTAAAAAAATGGGTTTATATATCTGTGGAATGACCAGGGTGGGACAAAGGACTCTTGTCTGCTGGAGCTAGGTGTGAATGGGTTGTTGTACGTTTTTTTCGGGCTATATGGCCATGGTCTAGAGGCATTCTCTCCTGACGTTTCGCCTGCATCTATGGCAAGCATCCTCAGAGGTAGTGAGGTGTGTTGGAACTAAAAAAATGGGTGGAATGACCGGGGTGGGGCAAAGGACTCTTGTCTGCTGGAGCTAGGTGTGAATGTTTCACCTGACCACCTTGATTAGCATTTGATTACCTGGCAGTGCCTGGAGAAATCTTTTGTTTAGAGGTGATTAGATGTCCTTGTTTGTTTCCTCTCTGTTGTTGGCTGTTCTAATTTTAGAGTTTTTTTAATACTGGTAGCCAGATTTCATTCATTTTCATGGTTTCCCCCTTTCTGTTGAAATTGTGATGTTGTTGTTGTTTATTATTTGTATTTTCAGTTTGCATTTTCAGTTTTACTCTGTTGTAATTTGTTGTTTGGGCTTGGCCTCATGTAAGCCGCTTTGAGTCCCCATCGGGGAGAGGGTGGCGGGGTATAAATAATGATGATGATGATGATTGTTGTTGTTGTTGTTGTTGTTGTTCTACTCCAGAAACTTCATTTTTGTAGCTGCCACAAACTATGTTGAATCCTAGAATCCTAGAGTTGGAAGAGACCTCCTGGGCCTTTATCCAGTCCAACCCCATTCTGCCAAGAAGCAGGAATATTGCATTCAAAGCACCCCCAACAGATGGCCAGCCAGCCCCTGTTTAAAAGCTTCCACAGCAGGAGCCTCCACCACACTCCGGGGCAGAGAGTTCCACTGCTGAACGGCTCTCACA